TTATTTTTTATTTTTTTGGACACAGAAAAAATGACAAAAGCATAAAACGTAGCAAATTACAATAATCGTGAATAGCATTATACAATAATTGTGATATATTTATTAAATAAAAAAAAAGTAATTTTCATATTCGTTATTTGCTCCAGGATGAATTCAAATTCGCAAAGTTAATAAATGGTTTAGGTTGATCTCCAATTTGAATTAGTATGACGAGATACGTGGTAATCAAACCGAATACCTTAAACGATTATAAGGAATATTATATTGTTATTAAAAGAAAAAATATAATAACAATCAAGAATTATATTTTTACTTACATTATGAATATATGCATGATCTAAATCGAAAAATCCGGAAGCGGTAAACGTCAAAGGATTTTGGACTAGTTGAAAAGTAAAATCACGAATCTGAGAAAAATAATAATTATAAATTTAATATACAGGGTGTTTTGTAATACATTGTACTCCACTTCAAAGGAAGTTATTATTTTGTACATATTAAACTTGATATTAATATAAGAACACATAGATGAACTTTTTCATTATTGAAGTAGGTCCAATATATTACGAGACACACGGTATATATTTTTATATTAAACAATTGAACAAAATTATTACTTACTTCGTCACGAAATTTTTGACTTGTTGATGGTTCGTATAATTCGAAAAGAATTTCACCTGTCTTTATGGCCTTTTGGAAAGTAAAAAAACAAATTATTAATAAATTAATTAATAATTAAGAAAAGTAAAATACCTCTTTCTTCGTTTTCTCGCATATTGTATTTATTGCAATAATTTTAGCGATATGATACAATTCCCAATAAAACACCGTTGCAGTTCCTGTCTGTAAATATTTATATCCATTTACAAATACTAGGAAATATATATTATACGTCAGTGTAATAAGAATTACTATGGATGTTAATATGGAAAACAAAATTTGAAATCCGTATATGTTGTTTATAATTTTAACACATTTAATTAATTCCAAATGTATTTGTCTGTAACGAAAAAATATGAATAAATGAAAATTAATATAAAATTTAATTATAAATATTTTGAGAAGAATTTTATTTTTTTTTTTTTTTTATTCAATATTTGTAATGTGTGTGACTTACTTAATTTTTTTTAATTTTATATAATTTTCATTAGTTTTGTAGGTATAATAAATAGTAGATAACAATGAATCATCTTCCCAATTATCTTTCATTCGAAGTACTCTTTTATGTTGAGGAATATCATTGGTTGATGTCAACATATTTTTCAATACATTGTTCAATTGACCAAATTTCATTTTTGTGAACCTAATTAAAGTATAATTCGTTTATGATTTTTAAAAAAATATATAAATGTAAAACAATCGACTTACCTAATCCAAAATATAAAAGAGAAATCAATAATCATAATTACTATAGAAGGATAATTGTCTAAGAAAAAGTACAGAAATATCAAAGTGGAATTCACTAATTTTCTTATATAAGTAAACCATAAAAAATCGGTAATTATTATTCCCAATAATACTACAATTAGTATTACGATTGATATATATTGGTATCGTAAAATGGCAGAATAATTTCTCGATACTTTCAATTCGTCTATTCTTTTTGTACACATTTCCAATTGTTTTATAAATAATCTAATTTGCTGTAAAAATGTAAATTATTTATTGATTAGATTACATCACAACTTTAATATAATATTTGCTCATAATTATGAAAGTGATTTAAATCATAAATATATATGATGTGTATAAATAATACAATCATTAAATCGGAAATGAAATAACTTCTTTTTTATTTTGATTTAAATTATTATCACAATTATGAGCACATGTATCATACATAATGATATAAAAATAATTGGAAAATGTTTACCTTTCTTCTTAAAACACCAGCGAACAGTGCAATACCATACAATAATGTATTACCATAAAATTCATATATGGCAATAAATTGTAACGTTTTTGTCTGTGTAAGTGCCGATATTTCAAATATCACATCGTTAAGATTAAAAAATAAAACACTATAAAAAATTGAACAACAAATGACATAAATAAAACCAATAACGTGAAGCTTTCGATCGATAAAATATTCCAATAAACCGGTACAAACTATGGAATTTGCAATAATCAATGGCATGATAGAACGTTGAAATTTTTTCGATGGAAACATTTGGAAAATTTGTTGCAATAGATTTCTTAAATAATAAAATATTTCTCACTTTTTTTAAAATACAAATATTAAAGGTTTTTTTATTTATTTATTTGCAAACTTCTTGCTGAAGATTTCGAACGATACTAAAGTTCTACTATTAGACTTTCTCAATTCTTATTATACTAATATGACATCGTAATAGATATTAATGACTATAAGTTTCATAAACTTACGTTACAATTCACTATTATTATTATTTTTCTTTTATTTTTCTTTCTTCTTATTATCATTTACAATTCTTTTTCTTTTTTTTTTTTCTTTTTTCTTTGTCTATTCGATTAAACAAATTTTCTAACTCATTATCAAATGTAAATCAATAAGTAATTATTTATTAAATGGATCGTTCTATTAAAGGATTAAGTTTTATCATTATTAAAGTAAAAAAAGATAATATTTATCTTGTAATATAAATTTATAATAATAATATATAATTAAAGTTAAATATACAAAAAATATAATAAATGTTATAATGTTATGTGCTATAAATAAAACCGGATTGAAAAAGTCATTTTTATTTTATCGTTCTATGTCCAATGTTGAATTATTGTTTACATTAGAATTAAACAATACTTTAGGATGATCTCCAACCTGTATAAGAATTATAAGATAGGTCGTAATCGAACCGAACGCCTAAAACAGGTTTTACAAATATTACATTTTTATAAAACAAATAATTAAACAAATAGATGATTTAATTTGTTCTTACATTGTATAAATATGTATGATTTAAATCAAAAAATCTGCATGCGGTAAACGTCAAACTATTTTTCACTAATTGATATATAAAATTTCGAATCTAAAAAAGAAATATTACAAATTTAAAATGTACATTTTTTTAATTAATTTAATTTTAAATAAATAAATTAACTTATTTCTTACTTCATCGCGAAATTTCTTGCTGGTTAAGGGCTCATACAATTCGAAAAGTATGTCACCGGTGTTTAAAACATATAAAAGAACAAAATACAAATCAGTATGCGTTATTAATATTTTTTTTTTTTTTATAGAAAAATTTTCTTAAAGTCTTAGAAAAGAAACATATGAACATACTTCTGTCACAGTTGCTTGACACATGTAATTTATTGCCAATATTTTAATGATAAAAAAAACGACCCAATAAATCAGGGCATAACATTGCATTATCCATTTATCAATTTTATTTATAAATATTATAGTATATGTGGTGTACAATAATTCAGTGATAAAGAAAATGTTTAAGATCAACGTTAAAAAAATATTTAATCCATATGCTTCGTTTAAAATTCTTGCACATTTGATTAATTCCAAATGGATTTTTCTTTAATTCAAATAAAACAAAAAATTATTAAAAAAATTTGATGAATAAGAATAAATTTGATCAAATCCAATGACTTACTTGATTGTTTTTAATTTTATAAGATTCTCATTAGCTTTGTACGTTCCATAAATATTAGATAACAAACAATCATCTTCCCAATTATCTTTTATTCGAATTATTCGTTTATGTTGTGGTGAATCAATAGTTGTAGTTAACATACTTTTAAGTGAGTCATTTAATTGTTTTAATTTATTCTTTATATACCTGTTAACAACAACAAAAACATCATACTTTTATTTTAATAGATAAAACGAAAAAAAAAGAACAAACTTACCAGATCCAAAATACAAAAGTATAATCAGTGATCATATACATGATGGTAGAATAATTGTCGAAAAAATAAAGTTGAATCACGTCACTATAATCTAACCTTAAATCAACTTGGACAAACCAATAAGCATCGACTATAATTAAACTTGACATTAAAAAACTTATTATTAAACTACCAATACATTGAATTCGAAAAAGTGAAGAATAATTTCGAGAGATATTCAACTTGTCCATTTGTTGTTTACAATTTTCCAATTGTTTCAAGAATAATGCTATTCCCTGTAAATACAAAAAAAAAAAAAATAACGAATAAAATGATCAATCAACTTATGTATAACTCGTATGAAAATATTTACCAGTATAATATATATATAATTATTGTTTACCTTTTTTCTCGTCAGACCACCGAAAATTGCAGTGACGTATAATGTGATGTTATTAGCGTATTGAAGTTTAGAAATAATTGTAATAATATCCGTTTCTTGTTGACCCTTAACTAGACCAAGTAAATCTTTAAACTTCCAAACTAACGAAAAGAAATAAATTAGACAACAAATTAAATAAACAAAACCGATTGTACGAATTTTTTTATCAACGAAATATTCCAATAGGCCGGTACAAACAATACTATTCGTAATAATTAATGGCATAACCGAACGTTGAAATTCTTTTGATTGAAACATTTGAAAAGGTTTCTTTTGTCTTTTTTCTTTTTAATTAAAAAGATAGTTTTTTTTTATTTTCTTAACTTCGAGTTAACCCCCGTTGGTGTGAAGTCTTCGAACAATACTAATACTTTCTATCGGTCTTTCCATTTTATTATACTTGACTGTTTTTCTAATAAGTATTATTATTAAGGTAAAATAGGTATAGGTAGTGCTCAGGTATTATTCAAATAAAAAACCTTTCATTAATATTTAATATTGTATCTTTTTTGTTATTCCGTGAAATGCATTTTCTTTATTTTCCATTTGTATTCTCTCGTTATTAAATAAAAATCAATAATAAACTCATTATTAAAAAAGAACTTTATATCGACGATTCGTTTCACTATCTAATAAGAATTTTTTATTTTTTAAATGTTGCATATATATATTACAGAAATATTATTATAAATTCTTATATACGTGTCAATGAATTATTTAGCAGAGTAATTTATGTTTAAGAAATCAAATCGTCATTAAAAACTTGTGGTGGTAGGTTGCCAACTTGTATTAAAATAACGAGATATGTTGTTACTGAAACGATTACCTAAAAAAAAAAAAAGTAATTTTTTATACATATTAGTTATTTATTATCAATTAATTTTAAATGTTGCGTTTACTTTGCTTATCAATGTATGATTGAGTTGAAAAAATCCACAGCATGTAAATGACAATGGGTTTTGTATAAGTTGTAAAGTAAAATCACTGATCTAAAAATATTAACACAAATATATTTATATTAATTAAAATACAAATTAAATTAAAATATAATTTATTAATTATTACCTCAGTACGAAATTCCTTGCTAGTTGTTGGTATATATAATTCACAAATGATATCTCCGATATTTGACGCATGTAAAATATATACATATAAATTATTTACAATTTTTAAACAATTCGTTTTATAATGAAAAAGAAAATAATGAATAATTAATAAACATACTTCAGCACTAGTTGTTGCACATAGATGACTAATCATAATGATCTTAAACATATATATAAAAATCCAATAAGATAAACTAATTATTGCATTTATATTTCTTCGGCCTATTCCAATAATTATGTTATTATACAAATTGTAAGACATAATTGTTATTAAAATAGTAGACATTGATATGGATAATAAAATATTTATGCTGTAAGCATTGTTAATATTTTTAGCACATTTCATTAATTCCAAATGTAACTTTCTATGATAAAAAATGAAAAGTATGATAAATTAATATAATTTTTTAGATATCAAGAGTTCATTCAACAATAATTGCACTATAATTACTGGGCTATTTTAATCTTGACAACATTCTCGTTTGATTCATATATTCGATGAATATCAGCTGATGCAGAATCATTTTTCCAATTATTTCTCATTTTAATCATTCTTTTATGTTGCGGTGAATTGTTAGTTGTAGTTAGCATACTTTTTAATAATTCATTCAATTGACCAAATTTCATTTTTATAAATCTATATATAAATTCGTTAAAATATAATTAAATGTTTAATATTATTTTTCATATAAATAAATTGTGGAAAAACTTACCTCATCCAAAACATAAATGTAATTTCGGTCACTGATAATAAAAATAAAGGATAACGTTCTATATAATATATTCTTAAATACGACATAAAATTATGTCCAAATATTATTAACCAATTAATATCGGTCATTAATAAAACTATGAAAAGTAAAATCATTATTAATATATGATAATACTGTAACCAATAACATTTCGATAAATTTAATGGTATTTTTAATTGATTCATTGTACGAATACAAGTTTCCATTTGCAACAAAAAACTTTTCACTTTCTGTAAGAAAAATAAAAGAATTAATGAAATGAAAATCTTAGCGAATGAAATGTAATTTTAATTAATTAATGTAACGAAATATATTTGATTTACCTTTCTTCGAAGTAGTCCAGTAATTATGGTAATAAAATGATATAAATAATGACTATAAATGGATAATTCAAATGTAAATTTTATAAGGTATGGTTGATTTGGTTCAAAAGATTTTTCAAGAAATTTAAATTGATGTATCATGTAAATATAAACAAGTATCGTTGAACAAGCATAAATCAAACCAATCGCGTTTATCTTACTATCGTTAAAATATTCCACCAATCCGGTGGTAAACATTGAATTAATTATTATCAATGGTTTGATACCTCGACGAAATTCGTCAGATTGAAACATTTTCTTTTTTTCGAGATAATAATTTATAATACAATGATTGAAAATTTTGGATTATTTAAATATTTTGTTTAATAGAACATTCTCTGTTGAATTTTGAAAGCACACTAAGGACACACTCATAACTCGGTTACCTGTTTTGCACCTTATTACATTTATATCGAATATTATTATGACCTTAATTCATGTTTTTTTTTCGATTATTCGATGAATTCAACTAAAAGGTTATTTTATCTTATTACATTTTTCAAATTAGAAGAAATTATTCATTGGAAGGATATTATCTTTTCTTTCTTTTCTATCTAATTTGTTTTTATTTTATTGATACAATAAAGTTAAAGTAACACGATGAACAATACAAATTTAATATAAAAAATATTTCCAATTTATGAAAATTAGTGACAATTTGGTGAAATTTTCAAACGATACTAAATTCTACTTTCAATCTATCTATTTTGTTGCATTAAAGTGTTAACATATAATAATATAGAAGTTTATTATGAATTGTGTCATTGACTTAGGGTAAAAATTACTTAACTTTATTTTATCAGATTAAAATATTTTTAGAATGAGTTGTTAGACAGGACGGTAGAATTTTCAAAAACATTTTTTGATTGTGTGCTACCAATTTGAATGAGAATAACCAGATAAGTTGTTACCGTACCAATTACCTAAAATGAATAAATTTAATATATAATATAAATTATACATACAAAAATTATGTTTGTAACTTACACCACTTATCAATGTATGATCAAGATCAATATAACCACAGGCTGTAAATGACAATGGATTTTGAATAAGTTGTACGATAAAATCGCGAATCTAACAAACAAAAGATTTGATTAAAAATCATGCCATTATAATATCATAAAATTATTATCGTAAATTTGCATTAATTATTATTAATTACTTCGGTACGAAATTCCATGCTGGTTGAAGGTTCGTACAATTCGCAAAGTATATCTCCGGTATTTGACGCATGTAAACAAAAAAATAATAACAAATAATTAATTCGTCGAATACTTGGTAAAAAAAAAAAAAAATGTCAAGAAAGTGTAATGCATAATAAATGTTTAATTTTAAAACATACCTCTGTTACAGTTTCCGCGCACACGTGACCCACTACAATGATCTTTAAACCAAAATAAATAATCCAAAAAATATAGCAGCCTAATTCGTACCCGTATGTTGGTTTGTTTGAAGTTATAATTGTATAATAAATATTGTAAGATATAACGGTGATTAAAATAAAAGCCATTGTTATTGTTAATAAAATATGTAATCCGTAAGTGTCGATTACATTTCTAGCACATTTTATTAATTCCAAATGTATTTCTCTACGATAAAGATAATTATTAAACAATTGACAAAATGGTTTGAGTTAAATAATAATGAAATTATAATGTTTACTTGATTTTTTTCATTTTTACGACGTCATCGTTTGAATTATTCGTTGAATAAATATCTGATAATAGAAAATCATTTTTTTTATTATTTTCCATTTGAAGAACTCTTTTATGTTGAGGTGAATAAATATTAGTTGTTAGCATGTTTTTTAATAATACGTTCAAATCGTTTAATCCCATTTTAATATACCTATTTTGAAATATAAAATTTGTTTCGACAAATTTTACTATTATGTATAATAATAATTATTATATTTTAATTAATAATATATTAAATAGATTAACTTACCTTATCCAAAATATAAAAGTGATATCACCAATTAGCAATACGATAAATGGACAATTTTCAACGTAAAATATAATATAAGGTATATTGTACGTAACGATCAGAAATATTACCCAACGAATATTAAGTATTATCATAATTATCGTTAAAATAATGACAATTGATATTAGATAAAATTGTAGATAAAAAATTTTCGATAATTTAAATGGTATATTCAATTGTTCCATCCTTTTATTGCAAGTTTCTATTTGCATTAACAAACGTTTAATCTCCTGTCAAAAATCGAACGAGCACAGTATATAATAATAATACTAATCACGATTAAAATTATATGAATAAAAAATGTTTCGAAATTTACCTTTCTTCTTAAAATACCAGCGATAATACCAAAAACGTGAGACACATAATTATTTATTTGATATAATCGATCGCTTATTTTGATAAGAATTGGTTGATCAACGTCGGCAAGTTTCGAATAAAATGAACAAATAGAATCCATCGAACAAAAAAAAATGATTGAAAAACATGCGTAAATCATACCAATCGCGTTTATTTTATTATCAATGAAATATTCAACCAAACCGGTGTCAAATATCGAATTTATTATTATCAATGGTTTGATACTTTGACGAAATTCGATTGACGACGACATTTGCTTCAAATATTTTTTTATTTTTTTTTTTTTTTTTTTTTTTATTAAATGCACTAATTAATTTAAATTAAATGCACTGATACTTTTATATGTTGTTAGAATTAAACAAGAGTTGCAAGATATTCTTCTATGATGTTTTAAATGTTACACTTATGAAAGTTTACAACTCATTGGTTGCATGATATTTTCTTTCGTTGTATTGGTTAATATCCTTCTAATCTATATTCGCATTTAGAGTAGTGGTAATTACTTTTCTTTTTTCCTAATGATGATTCGTAGAATATCCACTTATAGTTATTACATTTTTGCATTATACAAATTAATAATAAATTATTCATTAGAATAGTATTATCCTTTTCTGGTAAAATATTTATGGTGTTACTTTTTTTCCATTCGAAAAAACAAAATTGTTGTTGACACTGAAAAGAGTGGTTCAAAAAAAAAACATGAATTCTTTGATGGTATTGAAATAAGTATGAATTAAAAAATTATTTATAAGGTACATAATAAAATAGGAATTTAAACAAATTTATTTTTACATGAAAAAGTTGATTTATTCGTAGTTTTTATAACTGAACATAATTCGTTCATTTAGTTTACAATAATAAAAAAAAAAAATACTATACCGATTTATAATTTTTTGTTAAATGAATCAGCTACCTGTATCAATATTACCAGGTGTGTCGTTATAATACCTATACACTGAAGAATAAATATAAATAAATTATTATTATTATTATTATTATTATTATTATTATTATTATTATTTATTTTTTTTATAATAACGTAATTCAACATAAGAAAGTTGTACAAACCGAACAAATTTGTTTGCAATTAAAATTGTATAAACCAAATGCAGAATACGCGCTACGAAACTGCATCATTTGCATAGAAAATACTTCAACCTGTTACAAAATAAAAACATAAATAATATTAATTAAATTAATCATGAAATATTTAATAATAATATTAATAACCTCTCTTCGTATTTCGGTGTCCGTATTTTTACCATAAAACGTGTGAATGATTTCATTAGTACGTTTAGCCTGAACAAAATGAAAGAAAATCATCAAATAGTTAAATAATTAAATAACAAAAATAGAATAATTTTGTCTTACCTCATTCGAAGTTTTGTCACAGACGTAATTAACCATAAAGATTTTCATAAAATATTGAAACAAACATAAAATCATTACAACGAATTGAAATGTCATGCTCATTACGTTATACATATTTTTCATGTATTTTTCATAAAAATCGTATAAAGTAAATGTAGTACTCAAAATACAAATTGCAATTTCTAATGATATCTGTATGCCGTACATTTTACTAAAACATTTAGAAATTCTGTATAATTCCAGATGAATTTGTCTAAAAAAAAACGAAACATTAATATTATAACTATATAAAAAATATTTTGATTATTATTTTGATATATTAATCTTACCTGATTGTTCGTAAAAGCATTTTACTTCTATTTAATTTATAATTAGTAACTTGCAACTTAGATTGCGTTTGACGTTTTGACGATGACACGCATGTAAATAATTTTTTCGAATTTACAGGAAGTAATTGTTCAATGTACAAAGAACCATCATGGGTTTGTTTGCGATCAATTATTTCCGATGCGATTGAAGAAATCGGTAAAACATTAACGTCGCTTAAAAGTTCGTTTCCACGTTTAAATTCCGATTTAATGCACCTATGCGTTTTGAAGATTTTTTTCATTCATAAAATAAAAAAATTACTAATATAATTATTTAAGATTATTACGTACCTTACAACTGTAATAAAATCAATCAACGTCATAAATTCTACCAGAGCAAAATAAAAATAAAAAAATATACAAGAAAATATGAACAAAAAACTGGTATTTAAGGTATTGTATGAAATCATTCCAGCGGCGATTACAATGTTTTGTATAATTAAGTAAATAATAACGATCGTAATTTCACATATCGTTCTTTTATAAATGCTGTTGAAATATGACGGTGAACCTAACGTTTGAAGCGTCTTGTCGATTTCGTTTATTTTTTTTGCACAAATTTTCGAGTACTGTAGATATATATTTTGTGTTTCCAAAAAAAAAAAAGAAATCAATTTATTAATTTTATTAATTAAAAAGAAATTATTATAAATAAATATATTAGACTTACATTACTGTGATATAATCCCAATAGAAGTAGAACAAGTAACATAATGTTGTTAAGAATCGTAAAAATGTTACCTAAAATTTCTTCAAAATTAAAACTTTTTAATTTTATCATTTTGTCTTGACGATAAGACCAACATAAATGAGACAAAGAAAATAATGACATGGAATAAATGAAACTAAGTATCGGTCTCGAATGATTACGTGGAAATTCGAACACCCGTAATCCAAATATAGTACTTAAAAAATAAATCGGTTTTAATACGTCGTTTATACTTTTCGATGAAATTTTGTCGATTTTAGATGTTCTATTAACTTTTGCTTTTTTTATAAACAATTCTATTAAATTTATCATTGCAACTTTGTGTCGTCTTTGCTGATACTTCGCAATAGGAACACGTATCTGTTATTATATCGATATGTAAATTGGAAAACACCGTAGATTTCGTTACTTTTGTCTTTCTTCTTGTTTTTTTTTTTTTTCGTTCAATGAAACACACAAACGAAGTTCGATGAGACGTCTTCGAAGGATATTATAGTAATGCTTGGGAGTTACTCGAATGCGACATTAAAAGACTCATATCGTAGATTACTTTTTTCGTTTAATCGATATCTACCATACTATTGAATAATTTATTCCATTGCAAATACGGTCAAAGAAATAAATTAACGTATACACCATAATTTCTTTATATTTTCTTTAAAAAAGTATATTAAAAAGAACCGTGTATAAAAGATACGTAACCCTATAGTAAAGATAACAAAATCAGATCATAAAAGTAGGCAGTAGTAACAGTATCAAAAATAATTCCAGAAATTAAATAAAAATTGTACAATTAAATTTCGAGTAGATAATTTACTCAATTTATTTTTTAATAGTTATGTATTTATCATTTATATACTTTATAGGATTAAAGAGTAACATAGTGTACATCTAACAAAAAATATAAGTATTATACAATAATAATTAGTAATTAGTTGATTCCGTTGAATTGGTATACAATATTGTGATTGGTGAGCCTCCAATTTGAATGAGAATAACGAGATAAGTTAAGACTCCACCGATTACCTAAAAATAAACAAAAAAAAATATGCAATATTTAAATTATCATCTAACATTCAAATGTGAATGAAAAAAAAAATCAATTTAACTTACACCATAAATCAATCTATTGTCGAGATTGAAAAAACCACAAGCGGTAAATGACAATGGATTTTGAACGAGCTGCAATGTAAAGTTGTAAACCTTAAAGAAAAACACACACACACAAAATGTATCGTAAACTAATTCAAATCGATTATTCGTAATAATATGCAATAATAAATTATTACTTCTGAACGAAATTCCATGCTGGTTGACGGTTCGTACAATTCGCAAAGAATATCTCCCGTATTTGTTGCATGTAAGTAAGCAAAAAATAGAATAAAAACGATAGAAAAAATAATGATTTCGTTTTATCAAAAATCTTTCGTGAAAATTTTTCAGATAAAATGTTTATAATAAATCGTAAGAAAAAAAAAGATAAGAAATATTTAAGTAAAATACCTCGGTTGCAGCTGATGCACAAACGTGGCATATTATGAAAATCTTAAACATGTGATAAACAATCCAATAGGGAAAAAAGGAACATGTAAATGGATGCTGAGAATATTCCTTAGATATCATAAAATTATACTGAATATAAGAAGATACTGTGATTACTACAAATGCTGTTGATATTGACATTAAAACATGTAAACCATAAGCATCGTTCATAGTCTTTGCACACTTTATTAATTCGAGATGTAATTCCCTTAAACAAACAAAAAATATATGTTAAATTGATATTTATTTAAAATAATTATGTTTATGGTATAATTACCTAACTTTTTTTATTTTTACAATATTTTTGTTTGATTTATATGTTCCTTGAACATCATATGTACGAGAATCATTCTTCACGTTATTCCAAATTTCAAAGATTCTTTTATGTTGTGGCAAATCGATGGTAGTTGTTAACATATTTTTTAATAATTCATTTAATTGACTAAATTTAATTTTGATATATCTGTTGAATATATATAAGATTCGTTAAAATATTTAACAAATTATTGGATAATTTTGTATAATTTACTTACCTTATCCAAAATATAAAAGTAACATCTGTAATTATCAATGACAAAAATGGAAATCTTCTAAGATAAATGTGAATTAATATTTGCCAAAATGTATAATTAATATATTGTAATGATTTAAAACTCGTAAGTATCATAGAAATAAATATAATCATTGAAAATATTATTATATAACACTGTTGTCGAAAACATTTAGAAAAGTTCATTGGTATATTCAATTTATTCATATTTCCATTACAAGTGTCTACTTGTAACATAAAACGTTTTGTTTTCTACAAATAAGAAATAAATCATTGTAATCTATATAAACAAATTACAATAATAAAATACATACATAAGTAAATGTTACCTTTCTTCTTAGAATTCCACCAGTATTTGTAAACAAGTAATATATGCATTCGATATATTTATAAATTTCGTACGTAGATTTAACAAAACTCGATATGTTTATATTAAATACAACCGATGAATAAAATGGATATTTTAATAATATTAAAATGTATAGGGTGTTAGATAATAATGCATAAATTATACCAATTGCGTTTATCTTATCATCGAAAAAATATTCCATCAAACCCGTTGTAAAAATTGAATTTAATATTACAATTGGTTTAATACTACCACGAAATTCTTTTGATATTACCATTTCTTCGATAAAATAATTTTTATATATTTTTTTTTGTTTTAAATAAATCCACTGATAATTTGATCAATGATCAAACGTTGCATTGACAAAATTTTTTAAACTTCTTGTTCACAAACTTTAATTTGTTAATAATAAATACAAACTTCGTTTAATAGATTGTTCAAATAGAAAGTACACATTCTGTGTGAAGTTTTGCAATGAAACTACTAATGTTCAACTTATTACTTGCAGTTATATTTACTTTGGTATAGAATATATTTTTTATTAATCATTTTAACGTAAAAAGTGAACATGAACCTTTATAAGTTTGTATTTTTTGCTTTAGTTGGAAAAACTACTAATGGGAATTACCTTTTTTTTTCTGCATAGAAATTAATAACAAATTATTCATTAGAAAAGTATTATCTTTTGTCCACCCCCACTATTCTCCTCTTTTATTCATTCTATCTTTCAAATATTATTATTTTTTTTTTTTTATTAACATGCAATAAGTAGAAAAATTATAATGAAAAATGTAGCATAAAATCATTTAATACATTTATGTTCGTGAATAAACATTATATTGTTCGTTTTCATTTATTTTTTGTTGTATAATTTATAATTATCTCAGAAAATAATTTTTCTATTAAAAAATTGATCTATTTACGTCATGTAATGAATCATATTTATTTTTTTTATTTCACATTTCTTTAACAAAAAAAAAAAAGAAAGAACTTTATTTCATAGTCATTCATATGAAAATATTGATAAATAAAAATCAATAAAATATTTTTATTGGCAGATATTATTAAAGTGGAATATGAATTAAATTACAATGTTATTTTCTTAAAGTATTTTATTAATTAAAGTTTATATAATTAAACACAATAAGCTTTATTTAATTTAGAAGAAAAAAAAATTTTACTTTATCGATGTATGATTCTTTTCTAATTTAATCAGCTACCTGTATCAATATTACCAGGTATGTAGTTATAACACCAAGACACTGAAAAGTAAATAAATAATTACTTTTTTATTTTTATTTTTTTTTATAATAACGTGATTCAACATAAATAATTTTACCAACCGAACAGATTTTTTTACAATCAAAATTGTATAAACCAAATGCAGAATAAGCGTTACGAAATTGCAACATTTGTATGGAAAACATTTCAACCTGTTTAAAAAAAAAGTAATAAWAGTATTAATGAAATTWATCCTRAAATTATTTAATAATAATATTAACCTCTTTTTGTATTTCTACGTCCAYACTTTTTCCATAATACGTATAAATAATTTCACTGGTGCGTTTAGCCTAAAYAAAAGAAAACAAAAAATCATCAAATCAGTTAAATAATTAAATAACGAAAATAGAATAACTTTTTTCTTACTTCATTCGTCGTTTTATCGCAGATATAATTAATTAAAAAAATTCTCACAGCATTTTGAAAGAAAAATACGCTTGTTATAACAGATTKWAAAATTAGAWYAATAGTTGGTATTTCTTYACTGTACWTTCCATACAAMTKGTATAAAACGAATGTATTAAAACAAATACATATTGCAATTTCTAATGATATTTGTAAGCCGTACATTTTACTAAAACATTTAGAAATTCTGTATAATTCCAGATGAATTTGTCTAAAAAAAAACGAAACATTAATATTTTAACTATATAAAAAATATTTTGATTATTATTTTGATATAATTATCTTACCTAATTGTTCGTAAAAGCAATTTACTTCTATTTAATTGATAATTAGCATCTTGCAATTTAGATTGCATTTGACGTTTTGACGATGACACGCACATAAATAATTTGTTCGAATTTACAGGAAGTAATTGTTCGATGTACAAAGAACTATCATGGGTTTTTTTGCGATCAATTATTTCCGATGCGATTGAAGAAATCGGTAAAACGTTAACGTCGCTTAAAAGTTCGTTTCCACGTTGAAATTCCGATTTAATGCACCTATGCWTWTYRAAGATTTTTCATTCATAACATAAAAAATTACTATTAWAATTATTTARGATTATTACKTACCTTACAATGGTAACATATTGAAACAACATTAAAAATTSCACCATAMAAGTATACGTGTGTTSAARAAATATTAAAYATAAGTGTGCAGTTTTATAAWTCRTATTATTTGTCATAATTTTTYCYAATAAAATKGTTGTGAAAAATAGCAATAAATARAAGAAAATAATTGTCAAATCTCTTATTGTTATTCTATAAATTTTATTGAAAGTTGACGATGAACCTAAATTTTGTAACGTTTTGTCGATTTCTTCTATTCTTTTAGCACATTTTTTCGATGACTGCAT